TGCTGCTGCTGCTGCTGCTGCTGCTGCTGTCGCTGCTGCTGCTCTTGCTGCTGAGGGTTTTGATGCTGGAGGATTCCCAGCAGCTGCAGGCAGTCAGGGAGCAAAGAGGCCGGGAGAGCAGTGGCTTCTGAAGTTTGCTGCAGAAGGCTGGCGTAGGCCTGCCTGCATGCACGTCGCAGCAGCTAGGGTTTAGGGTTTAGGGTTTAGGGTTTAGGGTTTACTAACGGGGTGCAGGTGTTTGGGTGTGTGTTTACTTTAGCTCCCGAGACAGGCGCTGCTTGAAGACCCTAAGTGAGGCCGGCGTTAGCTTCGATGCACTGCTCAGGCGTTGCTGCTGCTGCTGCAGCAGCAGCAACTGCTGCTGCTGCTTCCGCCTCCGCGTCAGCGCATCTTCATAGAGCTGCTGAGAGACGATGAGGCCGCAGGAGCTGCTGCTGCTGCTGCTACTACTACTGCTGCTGCTGCTGCTGGCTAACGTGCTGCAGCGGGATCGCTGCTGCTGCTGCTGACGCAGCAGCAAAAACTTTTGCTGCTGCTTCTTCCTCTTCGACTCAAGCCCTTGGTAGTACAGCCGTAAATGGACACTGTTGCAGTTTCCTGCTGCGGCTGCTTCTGCTGCTGGTCTTGCTGCAGCGGCAGCAGCAGCAGCAGCAGCAGCAGCAGCCAGGACTTGCGACTCAGCAGAGATCCTAGGCCTGAAGGAATACTCATCCCTCTCTTCAGAAGCAGCAGCAGCAGCAGCAGCAGCAGCAGCAGAAGCGTCAGCAGCAGCGTTTGACCGTGTAGCCCATAGCGCCTCTTGAAGCGCTGCCTTGTTAATACCATCTGCGTAGCGCAGACGCAGAGACATCCCACTCTAAACCCTAAACCCTAAACCCTAAACCCTAAACCCTAATTTCAGTAGCTGTTATAGCAGTACGGTAGAGGGAAGAAGCACCTTGAAGTCCTCTCAGGTCTGCCATCATCTTTCAAAGGGTTTGGCCTCTGCGTCTCCGTCCCAGCTAGCTGTAGCTAGCTGCGTGTATAGCTAGCTGAGACATGGGTTCAGCTCGGAGATGCCCCCAGATGCTAAGGGGCTTAATATAAATATATAATATATAAATATAAATACGCTTCTTCTGCTTCCTCGCTGACTGGGCGTGCGACAGTGGGGGGCCACAGCAGCACCGAGACGGTGAAGCAGCTGTGATAGAAATAACAGCTGCAGGCTGCATGCAGTGCTTGGGGCTTGGGATTCCAGCACGCGCGTTGCTACTATCGAGGGTTTAGGGTTTAGGGTTTAGGGTTTGCAGTATATTTCGCTGGTGACCTTCAGCTGTCTCCACAGCCCCCTGCAAGGCAGTAGCTGCAGCTGATAGCAGCCTTCGCTGTAGGAGCTCACGATACACCTAGTGTAACAATAATCTGAGACTAAATTTAGGGTTTAGGGTTTAGGGTTTAGGGTTTAGGGTTTAGGGTCTGGACGCTGGAGTGTGTCGCGGGCGTGGGTCCTTCGTCTATTTAACAACGGCTTCTAAGCAAAATATATTATATATAGTATAATACTATATAATATATTATTATAACTCTAATTAAATACAAAAGAAAGATAAACTCAAGCCCAAACTGAACCCTTAGACAACAGCCTTAGATGCGCTACACGTGAGGCTGCAGCCCCAGGTCGATAGGAGGGGGCCCCTGCTGGGGGCCCCTTGGGGGCCCCTCAGGGGCCCCTCTGCTTCTTTCAGTGTCTTCTACGCACTATAAAAACCTCTGAATTGTTTTTAAGTATTTAATTGAACTTTTTTGATGATATGCATGCAAAAAAAGAGAGAGGAAAGGGAGCCAGCTGGGTATTGTAACCCCGAGAGGAAAGCTGCTTTCTTGTTGC